TCAATATAAATCGTTTTGAACCTTTCTGGCAACTAAGAGACGGAATAATCAACAGTAGTGAATCAAACTTTAAAAATAAACCAGGCATCCTGCTTTTATACCTTGAGATGTATAGATATGTATTTCAGATTAGAAATTAAATCTCAGGAATTTTGATCAGAACGTAAGGAGTTATGCAATGTGTGCCAAAGCAAATCGTTGGCAATAACGAAGACCAATATTGGAAATTTTACCGACCTCATGGACTGAGATCTGTACGATTTTTTGAAGCTGATCCACAATTAATTGATTTGGCATATTACCCTCCCATTTAAAAAAATAATTTATAATGATAGAGCACTGAAAGCTTGGCATGGACATTGAGACTTACGTGAAGGTTGTTTGTGGACACAAAGGAAAGTAGATTACTTGTTTTCAAATAATTTAGGACCAAGGTACTTTTGTCTACTTTCTGTCACAAACTTGTAATTAACTCGATTATGCCAGAAAAATTTCCTCCATGTTCGACTAGTGATTCTGGCTGCTCAGCTGAGATGAGACGTTATGCCGAATGGAGAGTTACAACTTAAACCCACTGGCTACTATACAGTTTTTATACTTAAACGATACAAATGATTTTCAAGAAGAATGGGGGGAAAATAGACTTCAAAAGTCTGCATTTCAAGAAGAGTTCTATAGACGTTTATACTAACATTGAGCATAATCTAGGATTGGCTCCTCGAGGCTTGATAATCTGAATCCAACTTGACCTGACGTTGCAATTTTAAGTTTGTTGAAAATTTATCTTGAAAAGAATGGGCTTTTTTAAAATAAAAATAAAACTGTTTATCTTCAAATGAAAGGTACAGATATGCGAAGAAGTTTATGCGGCAGAATATGAGACAGTAATATTTGCTTAGAACCAAAATCAAATTATTTCCCTATTTCTGATCATTATATTTTTCTTCATTTAGCCCCGTTCAGAGAAAAAGAAAAAAAAAAACAACAGAGTTTCTAAACAGAATGAATATAACAACCAACGGAAATTATTTAGCAAAGGGAGATAACCAGGATATCTTAATATATTGCATGGACACTAACACCCATGAGACCAGTACCGGATTTAGGCACAAGCTAAACAAGCTACAGGTTAGAGCCTCACAGTCTGAACTCAGTCTGAAGGGGTCCCTCAAATTTATTTTATACCAAATATGGTCTCTAAAGCTTCCCATAGTTTAAGGCCTCCCTTTGTCAAAATCCGGCACTGCACAAGACACGAAGTTCTCGAGTGTTGACCCTAAATTCTTTCCTTTTATACACTGAGCTAGTCAAGGGAAACTACTGTCTGCAGAATATCAAACTTTAATTGTAATTTTGTGGCAATTCAGACAGGATAGGAAATGATACCCTCTTGTCACTACTTTTTTCCATTCGCATCCTTTGTAATAATTTCACAACAGCTACCGTTATTCTGCATGCAATTTCTAGCATTTAAATGTCATGACTGCGACATACATTAACTGCAAACATCTTTTAAGTATATATTGAATAATATAATATCCTTGCCATATTGAATTGAATGACATTTATAGGTATTAAGTACAACTGCATAGACTTAATGAACATTTGATATTTCGAATTATCATGAGATATGATATTTTTTAATAAGACTGGATAAATAACAATTAACATCAGAATATCCTCCAAGATGAGGATTTATCTTTTATTTGTACCAGATTTTAATTTATCTGGTCATAGAATTTTCTTATCATTTGTGATGCTTTCTTGGCATGGAAATTGCTGCAAATGCCTCTGTAATGGTTTCTACACTATTATACTTTGCATCCGATATCTCTTTTTAAACCTGAGGAACTTGCTATTCTATAAAACAAATTACACTTATCAGACATAAGGGTCATCTCTGTGATTGCCTGATGAAAGGTATTTCCACAATCTAAACATAACTAAGGGGTTAGCGCGAGGAAGTGTGTAGAACAGGTGGAATTCTAATTGAGGTAATAAATAAATTGCATTTGACCTTACGTTAAACAAGTACTGCAAACAAGGTCATAATATTTTGATTTGAATTTTTGCTCTAACTGTAAAGCCTAACTATAGATATCATCTAAATGAGCGAAAATTAAAGATTTGTGTGTAGAAAAAGCATTTGATTCTCAGGAATTTGATATGAAATTGATGTTTTCTTCTAATTTGATTTTGATAAATAATTTGATTAAATTAAATGATAATATACTTTGTGCATTACATACATCCTTACTTATTATTTACTTTTAAGTTTCAGTTCTAATTTCAATTATTGTATTTAACCTTTCAATGGTTTTTCCCCACAAAATTCATACTTTCCATGACAAATTACATATCTTCGTCTGTGCGCAAACTTTTATTTTAAAATTAATTAATGTAAGCAAATAGTTTGGTACCATTTGGACCAAATTGTAAAAAAAATAATATCCCATCTGTTATGATACTGTTTCTTTTCATAAATAAACCATTACAGAAACATATAGATTATTTTGAAGCCGTAGAAGAAATTAAAAAGCCGTAGAAAAACTAAGATTGTATCTGTATAATCTAAAAAAAAAAAAAATTAACTATAACCCAAAATATTGTTGGAGGAATTGCAGAACTTAAAGCATTAACACCGGAAAATGGTCACTTATCAGTGAAATATCTCGCACAAAGCTAATGTTTTACTAATTTACCTAAACTACAGATTTTAAATAAAATTACTTGGTACTTGTATCTTGAATCCCACTCTAAAAATATGTTGTATCTGCCTTTTTGCAAATCCTGTTCAAAATGTAGATTGCCTGAATGAAATCTGAGCTTGTCCTGGGAGTTAAGAAAGTAGATTTGTCTTTCCTAGCAAGTGATCATGTATGTTCATATTATTGTTGTTATTATTATACAATCAAGACCATGATGTCTAATCAGTAATAAAACGGTCATTGTGTGAATAGTTTTTGTGTCTACTAGCACAAGAACTTCTGTGCAATTTCTAAGTCTCTGAACATTACTTTTACTAGACCTGGAAAATAATCTGCTACCAGATTACATTAGGCTTTAAAGTTGGTAAATGGTGTCTCGACGTGCAACTTTATCCACATTTCCTGTAACAGATTACAGTAATGGCATATTTGATGTCATGCTTAATATGATCGGCATTCTGTATGATGCATAATGTCATTCTTCATTTCCATCTCCTTATTGTTTGACTGAAAATCTGTTTATGAGCAGGCACAGTATGTCATTTTCAGTTGACCAACAAGAGGGCAGTATTTCCATTAAGTTCATTACACTTGCATGAGCATGTCCATGTTGACCAGTAGCATGGGAGTATGGAGTAGATTTTCCTAAAAAGGTGCAGTAGTAAGTCCAACTTGGTGTAGGCATTAAAAGTGTAATGACCGAGTTAAATATCAGTAGCAAATTTATTATACTGCACAAGGTACAGCTTCAAACTGCAATGACGATTCTTAAATTAATTCATCAATTTTTATTGTTTCTAACCTGATTTATGCCAGGGAGTCACTAACACTATCAACCAAATGGAAGCTTTTGATGCAAGTAAGTGTAGAAAGACTGCTCACTCTCCTTTCCTAGTGTCTGTTACTGTTACAGTCCATCTCAGTAATAACTGTTGTTGTTGGGCTTAACGCCATTTTTCAGCACATGATAGGCTATTCATGGCGGCCAGTAATAATGGTGGAGGAAGAAACTGGGAAATCACCGGAAAGAACCACCGACCCACGAGAAGCTACTGGCAAGCTTTCTCACATATCCACATTCGCCAAATCCTAGACTCGAACCCATGCAAACAGAGGTGAGATGGCAGTGATCCATAACGGACAGCGCTTTAGACCACTCGGCCACTTGGGGCCCCTAGTAATAACTGTGTCATCTGCATCCAATATTTGCAATGTCTAGTTTTAAGATTTCTGAAAGAGCTGAACAAACGCAAAACACTTAAGCATTAGTGTTCAAAGAGCTGTAACTCCAGAAATGATGGAATTATTGATATTATCAAATGGAATTATTGATATTATCAAAGACAGTCAACAAAGTCGCATCTACAGCTAGAAAAACAATGACTTGCCCATGTGAATATGATAACCACTAAAAATACTATTAATTTTATTTGAAATACCACAAAGGAGATAATGTTTGAGGCAACAGTCAGGTTAGAAATGATAAATTGATGAGAGATTTTTGTATTGTTTTTATATATTTGATGAATTTTGTTTTTAAAAGTGGGGGTCGATGCAAATTGGAGGGTGAGCAATTACTATACAGGGACATTCCTCTTAAAGTTAGGCAGCAGTGAATTAATTTCATTATTTTAAAACTATGCTCTCAATTATTTATAGGATGTAACTGAGGAAATTGGTTGCTCTTCTATACACATTGCATATACGTGTAACATTAACTTCTCCTCCACATCGATGGTAGAATAAACAATAATTACAAATGCAGAAAGCTGTGATACAACACCTACTATGTTCTTGATGTTGTTCTGGGTTTAAATTGATTTTTCGCACACTATAGGCAATATATGGTGGCCAGTACAACTGGTGGAGAAGAAAACCAAGGAAAACTCCGGGAAGAACCAATGATGCATGAAAAAATACTGGCAAGTTTTCTCACATGTCCACATTGGCCAAGTCTGAGATTCGAACAGACTGGGATGAGAAAGTAGTGATCAGCAAAGGCAAGTTCTTTAGAACTCTTGATCACCTGGGAAGCCTCACATACAGTATAATCAATATAGTATAGATCTATGCAATTTTTATAACTAAAACCACATTTATTTATCAAAGTGTAAAAGAGATCAAATTTTGTTAAGCACTGAAAACCATAAATATAATTCTCTGCATTAATACTAGAATTGATTCAAGTAAATATAATGTGTAGATGGTGAGACACACCCTTTCTGATTATAACTTGTATAACTTTCTTGTATTAAGAAAGAAAACACAAATTTATATTTTTTTAAATTAATTGCTCCGATGGCCTAGTGGAAAGAGCATCCACCTCGGATGTGGGAGGTCTTGAGTTTGATTCCCGGCCGAGTCAATCCAAAGACGTACAAAAATGGTACAAACAGCTGCCTAACTTGGCGCTCAGCATTAAGAGATTAGTGTTAGGACTGAGTGGCCTGGTGTCAAGATAGTGTAACATCATGCTACATGTCTGCTGCATGATGCTCCAGTGCTAGACATCACTATAAACTGGCACACTGCAGACATCATAGTGATATGACCGAAAATGTTTTAAAACTATATTAAAAATCGAAATCACACACATCACAAAATTTTATCACTGTAGGTGTCTTTAAAAAGCTTATTCAAATAAATAAAACTCAAATGGTAGCAGAATTCAAATAGTGAGTACTCCAGTTTAATATCTTCAGACTCCTCAAAAGAAATTTAAATAGACTTAAGCCATAATATTATCCATCATTATTTTGATATGAAGCAATATTTTCTTCTCAATTTTACAAAGAACACACAAACTTTGTGCAGGAAAATGGATCAAAACCAGGACTGTGGATATATCAGAAAAACACATACTGTAAGCATTTCAGGAAAATGGATCAAAACCAGGACTGCGGATATATCAGGAAAACAAGTATTTGACCACAGACTGCAATTTGTTCACTAGTCTACTCTCATCTTAAAAACCACATAATTTCCACGAAAATCACTGGATTAATGCTTTTAAGATATTTGAAGATCTCTAACCACTTTTATTTAAATGAACATACTGCTATGAAATCTGGATAAAAGTTATATACATGAAACTTAGCAAATATCAAATGAAGCATACAAGTATTACTCTGGTTTTATATCAAATTTAACTTGCATACAACAAAATTCAGTTATTATTAAAACATGTACAAATGGGAATGTTTTAATATTGACTTGTGTAACATATCAATTCAAGTCAATAGCATTTGCATTTTCATACAATAATAAAATCAATAAGTAATAACAGAAATAATCCACATAAAGTGCTAAACTTTGGGACAGAAATATTTTTAAACTAACAGCACAATTTTTCCTTCAAAAGCTATTTTTAGAGCAGTCCCAAAATTTTCTGCATTGTGCAGAAGAAGACAATTATGTTCATAAGAAAGACTCATTATCTTTTACTCTTTTAATGACAATAGCATATTATTGGCAATACCATGCAGATGAAATGGAAATTAAGTGTCTGATTATTCCAAGGATATACCAAACCAGTTAGGAATAACATTATGCTACTTGGATTATCATTATGAATCACTATCAAGAAAGCTACCATGGCTCCATCTGTTAGCAGGAATGTTGATACTGTAAATTGGCATAAGGAATCAGTACACAATTAATAAAATCTGGTTCAGTACCCACAAATGTAGTCCCAGTCTATTTTTAGATCACTTTTTCCTGTCTGAAATTGGTGGTTATACAAGAGATAGATTTTGTCATTCTTGGTAAGGATTTAAAGGCAATTGTTTATTCTTTAAAATGTGAGCTTATGGTGTGGTTGTCTGTGTGTATTTCGGCGACAGTGCACATTGGGTAATAAGGTCATGGTGATGATCCGGAAGTGAAATCTGTGTTCTGTTGCCTGGTGTTTTGTTTACAATTCAGCCTCTCAAAAAAATGCAGGTCAACCCTTGACAAGAACTAAACCGTAAAGTCATCTTTGAAGGTATTTTAGATAAAAATATGATTTGTAGTGATTGTCACACAGTGGAAAGTTCAGTATTGAGAAACAAATGTAGAGACAATATAGTTAAATTAATTGTGTTCTAAGGCCATAAGATAAGAAGTCATTCTGGATCTAACTCCTTATCCATAAATAGACAAAATCAATTATGTTAATCTGAATGCTAACTTTGTAAAATTCAATAAAATATGAATTTTTTAATATCAAACAGCGTATTAATAAATATATAACATAAATGCATTAACCTGAATGTTAAAGTCTTAAATACAACTAAAACTTTATGTAAAAGAATCAAATCACTTGCGACTCCCTAAAGATACAAACCCTAAAGTACTTTTTTCATTGTACTTATAAGCATTAATATAAGGTCCATGTACATGTGGTATAGATTATATTTTACCTACATGCTGTGATAGGTGTAATTACATGTATTTACATGTAATTTTTAAAAGAGATTCTGAATACAATTAAAACCGCATGATATTATTAATATACACCAGAGAAAAGTTGAACATTTAACTACTTGGAGTAAATGTATACAAACTTCAGTGCTGTCAACAATATGTATACATGATTATCAACATAAACAAGTATTATGATGAGGAAGTCCACTCAAAGAGAACAAACCAATGATCTGAATTTCCTCAAGATATCCTGACATAATTCTTGTTTACCAATCATCTCACCAAAAATATAACAGTGTAGAAACAAAAATGTTGATTATTTTTCTTTGCTAACTAGTCATAAATATCAAGCAAGTGAAGCTTTCCAATCTTGAAGCAGTTCTCCAGCCTTTTTTAGGGTTTTGTCATCCTGAAAGAAGAAAGAATAAACAATTTATTACTGTTCTGTAATATATTTTTCCTACCCAAATATTTTTTTATCTTGCCAATCCATAAAAAAAATATTTATAGTTTTCCTCTAACATTTTTGAACACATAATTTTTAAAATAAAGATTTGCAAAACTTGAGGAACCCAAGAAAATAATTAATATTTGCAACTACTACTACTTGTACACATGAATAAATAATAAGAAATCACTTATGTCCTCAACCCCACTAAAATGTCTTCTGGGACACAGACACATTAGCTGAAAAGTTCAAATTTACGAAATTCATATTTACAAAAGTATACAATGAGGCTATAGGCATCAAGTGTGGACACTTGCTCAATTGTTGTTGTTGTTCTGGGGCTTAACACCATTTTTCAGCACGTGATAGTGTATACATGGCGGCCAGTATTAATGGTGGAGAAAGAAACCGGGAAATCACCGGAAAGAACCACCGACCCATGAGAAGCTACTGGCAAGCTTTCTCACATATCCACATTCGACAAATCTTAGACTCAAACCCATGCAGACAGGTGAGATGGCAATCAACTGTACAAATGAGGTTTACAAACATGTTTTTGTTTATTTGTTTGTTTTATATATGTTTTGTATTTGCCTTTGAAAAAGACTCATTAAGAGTCGAAAGCGCTCAGGCAAGTTAGTTACTAGTTTCGCACTGTTCTCGTCAGTTTATTGCATATATATATATATATATATATATATATATATATATATATATATATATATATATATATATATATATATATAGATATACATTGTAAGCATGGCTACAAGCCCATGTGTAGAGATATCATTTAGCCAGTGCTTAGCAAAGAAATTGTGATGAGAACTTGTCATATATTAGCACCTCTATTTGAGAAGTGTGAATTAAGAAATACATTTTTAAAAACTTATTAATTTACAATACACATTACCTACCAAGTCACACAATCAACCAACAGCTGTTAATTTTGTTTATAAATGATTCTAAAATGATGGTTTGATTTTGCGGGCCACAGCACCATTTACAGCGTATGGTAGACTATATATAGTGGCCAACATTCCCTCTAAGGCATGTAAACTAGTGAGCAAAGGCCACTAACCAGACAGCAAAACCTACTGAGCAAAATTGTTTTACGAAAATTGTATCCTCAGGCAGGGTGTGTCACAAGGCCTTATCATTCCTACAATTAGACTTTAAATGAGTAGTAGAAGTAGTAGGGGAGTTAGTACTAGTACTAGTAGAAGTAGTAATAGCAGCAGACTATCAGTAGTAGAGCTAACGTCACTAATAATTATTAAATCAAACTAAAAGTATTATTCCATGACAAGCAAACTTTGAATTATTTTAACTAAAAATTAAATAAAGTAGTAGTCTAAACTGCTTTGAAAGTTAGAAAATAAAGTCATTTTTATTCATATTTGGCCTAGACAATAATGTACTAATAGAAAGGAAAAGATTTTATAATAATGTCACTTCTATTTTTGTCTTCTGTTTTTATAACTTTTCCAAAGAAGATAAACCGCTCCCACAACAATATTCTGTCCACTTGTAAATAAAACTTTATCCTCATCAACATGTTCAAATGATCTGCTTCTAGTGTCTGTTGCAGGAATTGGTATTGATATTGTTCATCAAACTGAATCCTCGTTCTTCATCAGCACTGGAGTCTTGAAACATGCAAGAGATATCAAGCAATGTTGCAAGGCTTGAAAACTTATCTTCTGCCAATCCAAAGCTAACTACTTCTGAGAATGTTTTTAATGTCCCAGATTTAATTTTTTATTTAATATAAATCTGAACTCTTAATACTCCTTGATCTTTGTATGATCGCCATTTTTTGTCAGAAAATGATTATACTTGGCACACAATTTCAATAGCTCTTGATTTCCAAATTGAAAGTATGTTTGTACTTGAATTGCTTGTGAATTGAATGCAACCCATTCCTCTAATTTCTCTTCAGGGAATCTTTCTTGCAAATGAATGCAAACTTGCTGAATAAATCTAATTACTGCAGCTGTATCAACATCAACAAATTGATCCTTTGAAAGCAATTCTACCACTTTGTCATTGCAATTTACTTTTTGTGTTAAATACTGTAGATGCAGTTTACTAATCTTTCCCTTTGCAAACTTAACTGCTTCAAGTACAGTTATGCATTGGAAAACGCTACATAATTCAGCTGCATTGGAAAACACAACATATCTCAGCCAGGACATTATTCCTAACTATCACAGCAACATGAGGATCTTTCAACTTTTTCAAAACAATGTTTAGCAATAAGATCATTATCCTTGTATTGGAAAATAATCAACATCATATAATTTCTTGATATGGCTTGTACAGCAAAATATCTAAACATTCAATACACATCATTACGTGGTCAAAATGGGATGCCATCATGGTCTGCAACATTGCATAATTTATTGAATTCAGATTTTTTAACACTTGATCTACTAAAAGTAGTGTAAACAGTTCTTAACAATAATTCAATATCTTTCATCAAAGTTAGATTCTTCCGTACATCATCA